CAATTTTGAAAAGCGGAATTTTAAAAAATTATATTATAACTGTTTTAATAAAAATTTAAATTTCAACGTGAATTAAAGTGTTAAATACACATTACCAACTCATCAAGAATTACGAGTGCAGGCCGTAACCCAATTTGAGGGTAAGTATTAGGTAGTTTCCTAAAAATTAATTGAATAATGATTTTATAACCATCTTTCTGTTCGTAGTAAAGAAAGTGTTTATTCATTCTTACGTTTTTCTTAATGTGAAGAGTCAAACTCTTATTCTATCATAGGGAGGGTTAGGTGTTAGAAATCTTAAATGGTTTAATCTTGCATTGTTGGGAAAATGGTGGAGTAAACTTGCAAGTGGAAAAGAGGGTCCCTTGTATAGAATTATTAAGGATGAATATGGAAGTGCAGACGGTAACTGGCTGGAGTGGATACAAGAGAGCACCCAAAGGGGGCCTTCATGGTGGAAGCATATATGTAGGATAGACCACGTCGATTTCAATAATAGGAGATGGCCTTCGGAGGCATTCAAACTAAAAATGGGGGAGGGCAAATTGCTTAAATTCTGGAAGGACGTGTGGATAGGGGACCAACCTCTTGCTAACCAATTTCCTAGACTGTTCATTATTACTACAGACAAAGACAAAAGCATAGATCAAATGGGCAACTGGAGGGAGGGAAGATGGCATTGGTCATTACAATGGAGACGACCGCTATATGAGTGGGAGGAAGACAAACTTATAGAACTTCGGGGTCTACTTGATAACTCACACCTGTCCAACATCAAAAGGATTGCTGGGATTGGAGGCATGACAAAGATGGAGTTTATACAGTAAGGACAGCTTACAACCTTCTTTCTAGCAACAATGGGGAAAAAAGAGCATGGATATATAAAAGGATATGGAGCAAATTTATTCCAACAAAAATCAGTGCTTTTGCGTGGCAAGTCTTGCAGGACAGAATCCCCACTAAGATGAACTTATATGAAAGAGGCATCATAACTGATATTAACCAAGTGATGTGCGGCTTGTGTGGTGAAAGTACGGAAGACGGCAACCATTTGTTTCTTCACTGCAAAGTGGCTCACTCGGTATGGTGTAAATGCTTACAATGGTGGAGGACATCATCGGTTCTCCCTGAAACATGTTACGAATCCTTTGAGCAAACTACTCATACTTTAAAGATCCATCATTTGACTTTTTTCGCACATTGATTTGAAGAAAGTGGTTAAGGCCTCACAATCAATTGAGAAGGCTACATAAATTTTTTTTTCCATAAATAGTTAATTATGATATTAAAAATTATCAAAGTGTAGACTTAATTTTAAGAAATTTTGTTTTCTACTTTAAATTATATTAAATTATAAAATAAAAATTATTAGATAAAAGAAAAAGCCTTAATATTTGAAATTCAAT